TGAACATGCACTGACTTCGTTTAGCTGCATTGCCCTAACTATCCCACCTGTTTCCATCCAAATGCTAAGGGAATTGCAATGCAAGAGCTTTCTGCAGGTTTGTTTGCTCAAAGCAATGTGCAGTAGTGGAAGAGTTGCAGTGTTAACAGGGTCACTGAGAGATTTAATTGTATTTTGTAAAGATGAGCAATGGCAAAGGGTTTCTAAGTGGCAGCTGAAAGCCCTAGATCAAAAAATAAAGTTAGAATAGCACAGGTTCAGCAAAAGGTGACTCCTCCCTGAGAATCTAGCCCCTGCCCCCACCTTTTCTTGCCGTTACCTCATCATTATAATTTTATTGGTGCATCAGCTGGCCACAGTCTAAACTCCCAGGATTACATTCTACAGCTCAAAGAATCCCAACCCCTCAGCCCAAGATTTATTTCTTCCTTTGCTGTACTCTTGGGTAATGCAGCAGACTTTGGCTTTGGCCAAGTGCACAAATGTGACTGTCACTTGTACATCCCAAGATTGTGCTAGGTCTCCACCTTCCACAGCTGAGGCCAGGGTCAATAGAGAAAGGCCCCAGAACTATTTAATGGCACTAAGCAGCTGGGCTGTGTCTACATTGGCAAGATTTTGCGCAAAATCTTGCCACCTGTCTATACTAGCCGTGAGAATTTGCGCAAGAACACTGACTTTGTACTGTACAAAAATCAGTGGTTCTTGCACAAATACTCCAACGCTCCTGCTCATAGATAAGCCCTCTTACACAAGTATTCTTGCGCAAGAGGGCCAGTGTAGACAGCCATTTTAATTTCTTGCGCAAGAAAGCCCGATGGCTAAAATGGCCATTGGAGCTTTTTTGCGCAAGAGAGCATCTACACTGGCACGGATGCTTTTGTGCAAAAGATGACTTTTGCACAAAAGCATCCGTGCCAGTGTAGACGCTCTTTTGTGCAAATACTTTTAATGGAAAAACTTTTCCGTTAAGAGTATTTGTGCAAAATCATGCCAGTGTAGATGCAGCCCCTAAGTTTTCTGGTTCCTGTATAAAGTAACAATCCCTAAAATGCATAGCACTGGGAATAGCTAGTTACAATGCAGTTTATCTGTTAAGAGTCCAGCTTACAGGAAATGTCTGAAAGGTATGTAACAATCAAGTTTTCCAAGGGAGAAAAGCAGGCTACCGGTAAACAGAAAGGAGCCAGGCTGCCATAGCTGCCAAACATATAGCTTCTCTCTGGCGCCTATTTTCGCTTTGATTTAAAAAGCTACAACATAACAGAACCAACTTATAGCAGCTTAATTCAGCCCAAATCTTGCTTTTTTACAAAGCAGGGTTGCTGTGCCATTTAGATTTTAGTAAGCTGAAGAAAGTAAGTTGAGGCTGTGTCTACACTACAGGGTTCTTCCACCACTTTTTTTGTTTTGTTTTGGAAGAGCAGATATGCTCTTTGGAAGCCATCTTCTTCCTCCCAAGAGGAAGAAGGG